CCCCCTAATGTTTCTAGAGTCATGTTGCACCAGAGACATTCCAGCAATTCAGCCCACTTTCTCCCTGGCTAAAATCCCTTGCAAGTTTTGCTCTTGAGGAAATGTTCAGTCGTAAATCTGTTTTATGGGATTAGGAAATGAAACAGGGTGGTTTTCAAATACTGAGTTGGCACAATTGTGGGACATCTGGGGAAGATATTAAAATTCTGCGGATTCTTGAGGCTGCCAGAGGAAGGATGGAAGAAATACCCAGAAGGACGGAAAAAGGTAGCAGACTCTGTCCATTGCAGATGGAAGTGGTACAGTCTATGGGTCTTGATTGGGTTGGCCCTCTCTGCCAGTGAAAGAATTGAAAGGCAGGACAAATCTGGAGTGCAACAGGTGATGTCTCCAGAAAACAAAACAGGCGCTGGACTTGGACCTGACTCAGTTGGCGAAGTGTTTTCTGCACAAGCACAAGGAACTGAGTTCAGATCCCCAGCTCCCACATAAAAAAACAGTCGACTCTGTCAGTGCAATCCCAGAGCTGTGGAGGTGGAAGCAACTGGATCCCTGGGGCTTGCTGGTCGGCCCATCTAGGTGAGTTCCATCGGCTGGGTGGTTCAGTGAGAGATCCCTTTTCCAGAAGTAAAGTAGAGAACGGTGAAGGAAACCATACAACCTTGACTTCTGGTCCACATGCATGCTTGTCTGTACACACACATACTCACACACCCACACAGAACAAAGCCCATCCACCTTTACCACGTGCCCCGAGCACTGCTCAGGTGACAGTTGTGCTCAGCTATGGTGTCAAGGGGATTTTTCAAGATCAGTTGTGTTTCCTGAACCTTCTGTCACCCTCTGAAAGATAGTTCTTTAACCTTTGATTAACGATGCCATTTTGCATGGAGGAGCTGATCTACTGACTCTGGATTGCCACCATCTCGCATTTGTGAGTGGGTTCCATGTTTCAGACGCCCTTTATTTACTCATCAGAATGTTCTAGCATGTTCTAGAATACAAATGGCCCCCATTGAGCCATTTCTCATTTTCTCCCCCTCAGTGACTGCCTTGCATTTGAAATGTGGATGAATCAATTGGAGCCATGACACAGCTATGTAGATTTTGAAAATAAGTTGGGATTAGAGTGTATCCCTGATGGGAAATGGGAAAGGGCCAAGTATTTTTAGATCTACTCCAATTAAGTGCAATTGCCTGGATAATTCAGGTCGAAACAGGGTCTCTTCCCACCTAAACGATCCCAGTGATTCAGGCCGTGAACCGTGGTACACTCTGCAGATGCTGATTGTAAATGACTCATATACCAGTCATCAAGCAATAGCTAAATGCTCTGTGAAAATTGCTCCCATTGGGCCTTGATTTCTTATTATTTGTGGTGATCAAAACCCCATCACAGAGCTCTCCCGATATATCGCTAAGTGAAAAATGCAAGACACAGAACAATGCAAAATGATGTGCTACCATTGTGATCAAAGCAGCCAGAGGGGAACAGACATCCCTATTGACTCATAAGGGCTTTGCTGTGTCTTTGAGGAAGAAGAGGTGAACAAGAGACTGGAGAGATAGATCGGCTGTTAAGAGCACTGGTGTTCTTGCAGAGGATCAGTGTTTGGTTCTCAGCACCAATGTCAGACGACTCAAAGTCTCCTGTAACTATCTCAGGGTTGGGGAGAACCTAGCACCCTCTCCTGGCCTCTAAGAGTACTGCCCTCAAGTGCACACACACACACACACACACACACACACACACACACACACACACATACACACACACACACACACAAATAAAAATAAAATAAGTCTCTAAAAAGAAGATATCATTTAAAAAAATAACAACAAAAAAAGAAGTTACTAACCTTGGTTTCCTGTTGAGAAGGATGGGCAGCTCTCAGATGGAATAGGAAGGGAGAGAATATTTTCTACTGAAGTTTAAACTACAGGAATGAATCAATTAATACAATCAAAATACTTACTTAATTGAAAAATCTGTGATACCACCTAACTGGCGATTAGCTTTTGCAGAAGTGACACATTTGGAGACCCTACTAGCTTCTTAAAAGCATCTTCAGAAGAGCACCTGACCATCCACCTGGGGCTGGCAGGAGCATCCCAACCACCAGGAAGGCAGCAGATAGGTCTGTAAGAGCAAGTTGCTCAGTTGCTCCCTCTGGCTGTGATGATGTGTATGGCAGGTCCAGAGTGCAGGACTCTGACATGGTCTGCCTATCATTCAACCAGCAGAGGAGGCTCTCTTCAGAAGATCGTACAATGCTGAAGGCTGACGGTCGTCCTAAATGACCCCTGATTTTAAAAAATCAAGCAGGCAGCACTTTAATGCGGATTAAGAGGTAAATTTAATACTATGTACATCGCACCACACTTTGAGAAACCAACAATGTAATGTACTGGATTTATTTAAATGGGTGAACTGTATGGCATGTAAAGTCTATCTCAATAAACTGTTTTTAAAAATCAGACCCTAGAACTTTTCTTTTCTCATAAAGTATTGGAAGCTCCTCAAATAGGGAGCCTGTGCTGGCTTTGTTGCTGTGACAGATACCTGAGAGAAATAATGGATATGCAGAAAAATTACCCTGGCTCCTGTTCACGGAGGTTCCAGCCCATGGCTGGCTGGTTCCATCCCTGTGGGCCTGTGGTGAAGTAGGACATCACAGAGGCAGGAAGACACCAAGGACCAAAGCCACTCACCTCACAGCAGGCAGGAAGCAGAGAAAGAGAGACAGGGAGGGACTGGGGACAATGTATGTCCTTCAAAGGGTCAACCCACTGACGGTGTCTGTGCTCTCATAATCCAACCACTTCTCAGTGTAGGGCCCGAGTGAAGTCCTGAGTGAACATGTGTGTTGGTGAAATGGTATGGCATGTCAAGGCCTCCAATGCCTCAGCCCATAGTAGTGGCAAAACCTCCTCCTGCTGAGGCTCACAGGGATGGCAAAACCTTCCTTGAGTCTAAGTCAGTGTTGACAGTGTGTGCAGGAAATGTCCACTGTAGGTTTCTCCCCGACCCCCAGACGTTCACACCCTGAAAACTGCTCCCCTACAGAGCCTGCGCCTACCTGGATAAGCTAAACCTGTCTCCTTGTTCAGTTTTGTATAATTGTTTATCAGTGTATAATACTCCTTGTATTATCAATTTATCAGTATATAATAATGCTGTCTCCTTGTTTATCTGTGTGTAATACTACCCTTCCCTCCTTGTTCAGCTATATGCAACAACCTTACCTCCCTGATTATATAATAAATACATTGAACTTCCAAGCGCTTCAACTTCCTCATCAGAAAGACTAGACTACCTGATCCCAGCTTTTCTGTGCACACGTGTCTGTCATTTCTTCATTCCCTTGCTCCCCTAGTCAAGGCTCTGGGGTTCAAGTTGTACAAAACACAGCAGCAGCTCGGTACCCACCAGCTGTAGAGCAAGCCTTAAACACATGAGTCTTCGGGAGGACACTTGATATCCAGCCCACATAGAGGCCTCAACATATCAAATAGCAATCCCTTTGGGGGACTGGCTGAGAAGGGTGTCTAAATATCCTGTGACTGAATGATATTCCCATAGGGAGAGCGCGGATTCACCTACTAAGCACACCTGGCTCACACTGGAAGCTGTATCTGTGAGAGTGTCTGGTCCCCATCTCAGCGGGTGAGTCATTTGTTTCTGGGTTTTGTTTTAACCACGGCAACTCTTATAAAGAAAACATTTATTGAGATGCTTGCGTACATTTTCAGAGGTTTAGTCCATTATCATCATGATGGAGAGCATGGCGGCCGCATGCAGGCAGAGGTGGTGCTGCAGGAGTAGCTGAGAGTCCTACATCTTGCAGGCAACAGGAAGTCGATGGGCACATTGGGCAGTATCCTGAGCCTAGGAAACCTCAAAGCCTACCCCCACAGTGACACATTTTCTCCAATGAGGTCATCCCCACTCTAACAAAGCCACACTTCCTAGTAGTGCCACTCCCTATGAAATTATAGGGGCCAATTACATTCAGACTACCACACTTTCCTTATGTCTCTACTAAAAAACTCACAAGTCAACCACGTGTCAACAACAATCAAATGACTAATGCGTGCAAATTCTTGAATAGATAATCCTCTTTTAAGAGCATTTTTTATTTAGTTATTCTTTGACAATTTTATACATGTGTATAATGTACCTGATCATATCTACAAATCTCCCCTCTCACACCTCCCAGACTCTCCCTCACATTCCCATATCTCTCTTTGAACCTACTGGGTCCAATTAGTGTTGCCTGTTGGAATGCTGACTGATCTTTTTGGCTTGATCTGATGCAGGTGACAATACCTGCTATGAGTTCACGAGTTGGATGGCCATGTCATGTCCAGAAGACAGAATTCTCCTGAATGCCTTTTATACTCTTTTTGTTCCTTCTTCTGAGATATTCACTGGGTGTTGAGGGCAGGGTTGACATAGATGTCCTATTTAAGGCTGATCACTCAACAGTCACTTTTTAATAGATAATTTCTTAAAGAAGATACAGAGCATCAGAAATAAAAGGCAAGCACAAGCTTACACCCACTGAGTAATAGCAAGTGTTGGCAAAAACATGAAGAATTAGGATGGGTGTGCACTGTTGATGGGATTGTAAAATGAGGCAGCTGCTGTAGAAAATAGCAGGGGTGTCTCTCGAGAACTAAGAGTAGGGGCTGATGAGACGGCCCAGAGGGTAAGAGTATTTGCTGGTGACTCCAGGATCCACATAGGGGAAGGAGAGAACCAACCCCAGCAAGTTGTCTTCTGACCTCCGGACACACACACCTTGTCACACATATACCTGCCCCTATCATGTGCTCACACAAATAAACAAATACCTGGAATAAAAAATTGAGAGGCTGGATAGATGGTTCAGTGGTGCAAGTATGTATTATTTTTGCAGAGGACCAGAGTTTGGTTCCCATCTGTCTTAGTCACTTTTCCTTTGCTATGAAGAGACACCAAGGCAACTTATAAAAGAAAGCGTTTAATTTGGGGGCTTAAAGTTCCAGAGAGAGAGTCTATGGCCATCATTGTGGAAAGTATGGCAGCAGGCAGGTGTGGCACTGGAGCAGTAGCTGAGAACTTATATCCTGATCTGAAAGGCAGAGGCAGAGAGAGCTAGCTGGGAATGGTGTGGGCATTTGAAACCTCAAAGCCTATCCCCCAGTAACACACCTCCAACAAAGCTATACCTTCTAATCCTTCCCAAACAGTTCCTTCAACTGGGAATGTAGCATTCAAACATATGAGCCTATGAGAGCCATTCTCATTCAAACCACCACACTGTCCCTCACATCGCTGGCTCACAACCACCTTTACATACACACATACACATGATTAAAAATAAAATCTATCACACACATAATTAAAAATAAAATCAACCACACACATAATTAAAAAGAAAATCAATCATACACATAATTAAAAATAAATTCAGTCTTTAAATTATTTAAAGGATTAAAAGTAGAATCATCATAGAATCTAACAACCTCCCTTCCGATCATCTATGCTCAAGAGTTGAAAGCAGGGTCTCAAAGAGGTATGTGTGTGCCTATGTCTATAGCAGTTCTGATCCCAACAGCTGAGCAGGGCAAAACAGCTGCCAATCTAGAGATGAATGGAAACACAGCACATGTTGTGTTACAATGGAATATTCTTCAGGCTTAAGAAGGAAAGAAATTCTGTCTTATTCTACAGTGTGGGTAAGCCTTGGGGACACTGGGCTAAGGAGAAACAAGCCAGTCAGGGGAAAGACAAATGCCCCTGACTCCATCCATGTGAGACTAGTGAAGTCAAATTCAGTGAGAAAGGACAGTGGTGGCTGGAGGAAGGGAGCAGGGATTGTTTGACAATTTGCAGATGAGGTTCTGCAGATGTTTTAGAACACGTGACTATACCCAATGCTACTGAAGTGTGCACTTCAAAATGGCCACCATGATAAGTGGCATGCCATGCATCTTTCAATGCAATAAAAACAGAGAAAGGAATCTGCTGTAAAGCTTGCCAAGTGCCAATAACTGTTGAAGCTGAGTGATGGCTCCGTGGAAGTTCATCCCGCTGCCTTCTCCAGCAAAAAGTCATTTAGAATAAGTGTAGGGAAGGCATTTAGGGTTGAGTAAAATGTGCCCTTGAGAACGCGTATAATAAAGAACAGAAGCCCCACAGAAGGACTTAGGGAAGGCGGACTTAGTGGGAATCACAGCCTGCCTCCCCACCCGCTGTGCCGCTTCCAGGACTGCAGCCAGAGGGGAGCCAGCAAAGCTCCCAAGACTCTAAATCACACCCAACAGGAGCACAGTCAACAATAGTAAGTGGCACTCTTTTGTTTGCTGGACACCTTACAAGAGATTGGGCATTATTCTCTGTTGCAGCTGTGGACTGCTGGGAAATAAATATTCTGATTACAGAAACTCTATTTCTGATCTATTTCATTTAATTTCCAGCTACTTGATATCTGATTAAACTTCTCCATTCGCCTTTCTGGAATAAACAATATAAACAATTTCAGTGCTTATTAAGCTTTTCAAACATACCATCAATTCCCCAGCCAGAATACCTTGCTTCGTTACCATGGATTTGATCCCAGTGCAGCTTCCCACGGATATCTGCCAAAACATTCTTGGATTCATTCGTAATCCACTTACTAACTTCCATTTGAAGGATAATTATTTGTGTAAAACATTAACTGTATTATTATGCCTCTCGATGGCTACCTAGATGAATTGGTAAATTATACAAAAATAACAATAAATAATATAATGGTAACCAAATGTGAGAAATGGAAAGACAGCTTACCTTTCATGAATGATGTCACTCACTACATTATGCCAAATTCCAGAAGGATCCTAAGATACCCTTGTAGATATCTTAATCTATGGCCATTAAATGTCTATGCATTTGGGTAGATCAAGACAGGTATCCAGTTTTCAGTATATAGTTGGTATGTATATAGTTGTTTTATAAGGTCTGGAGAATGATCTATGACAGCTACACTGTTGAATGATTTCATTAAGTATTTAAGGCAAAAGTAAAGAATAAGCAGCCAGTAGCTGATAGAGAGAAGCAGCAGATAAGATAGCTACAAATCACCAAAACAGGAGTTTGTAACATCCAGCAGAAATGACTGGAGGAGCCAAGTGAGAGAGCAAATGAAGGTTACAGCATCAAACTGGGGGCTTAGAACACACAGCAGAAACAACCAGAGAAGTCGAAGCCATCATCTGGAGTTCGCAGTGGAGCTTTCTCTCCGAGGATGAACTTTCAGCTTTCCATTTCTCAGGCACTTCTGGATGGTGGGAGAAACAATAGCAACGTCTTTTAGGAATGCTTTACCTTTCTGGCTCTACTCAGGGACAAACTGCCTTCACTACTCTATCTGTTGGCTCTTTCCGCTCTGCCTGGTGCGGAGTCAGGGTGCCAACCTGACCCGAGACAGGGGTGTTCGGAGGACACTTCAAGACAAATATGTGTGAGTCTGAAATAGGAGCGTCTAGCCTGCTTCCAGAACCATCACTGCAGCAAGCTTAAGCAACACACGACAGTTTACAAACACAGTGTCCACTGCAATACTTTACACACATGTGTGCACATAGGCTGCAGATGCAGGTATAATTCGAAGAGAGGATGTTCCTGGAAAAGTATTGGGGATAGTAACCGGCCTCACTGCTGCATAACGTCACGCCTGCGTAAGCAGCAGTGCTTCTGGTACGGGAGGGCCTGAGGCACTGTGCAACCGGACTGTCAGACCCAAGCCCCGTAGGCCTTAGCGTCTACTAGTCAGCTGACCGACCTCTCTTGACGCTCGCACACAAACCCCCAAACTTGATACATGGGCTGAAATACAAATTGCCCCTCCTGAAATAGTAATGCAAACAAAGAACATGCCATTCCGGGTGGCATTTTGTTGCCAAGGCTAGCCTTTGATCTCTACAACATCTTGGGGCAGTCTGCAGGCATATTGAGAAATCAAATTACCCGCTGTGTTTTTCTTTCCTTTCTTTCTTTCCCACTTCAGCCATTTGTTAGGAAACGCTATAAAAATCCAAGTTGTCTCTCTTGATCTTTATCAGAGACTGCAGTCGTCTTTGATCTCCTCTGTGTGTGACATTTGTGCATGGCTTCCCCGTTTAATTGTCTGACTCTCACTTGCTGTTAGAGTTGAAAAGTTAACCGTGGCTTTGCTCTTTAAAGAACTCCTATTATCTCCCAGCCAGTCTTTCATATTAAATACGTCATTTGCTCACCACACCTAGTCGCTCGGGTCACTGTGTCAGCCTCCGATAACTTCTGCGATGTGTTAACTCTATGAAATGACTAGAAAAAAAAAATTCTGGTAAGAAACTTCACGTTGACATGAGACTTGGCTTCCCGGAGTCTCATTGGAAGATATCAAAGCAGAAACCCAGCTACCCACGGCACTCTCTCTAGCTTAGCCTGATTTTCTCAGTTTACCCACAAGCACCTCCTTTCACCGTGACAACTGACTGGTAGAGGTGGGACAGGCTCACTTCCTCTTCTTTTCCTCTTGGCCTGTCTGAAGTTGAGAATCTTCCCAAGCTCCATGAATGCAGAGACTCTCTGTTTCCTGTCGACTGGTGGTAGGCATCACATTCTCCATGAGGAATTCCAAACCATCAAGATCTGTGAAAAATGGCTGGCACTTGTCTGCGCAAAGCTTCAGGTGGTATTTTCTGTACATTGCCCCCCTTTTACCCATGAGAAACTTCACTTGACAAAAACTGGTAAACTGAGTCTGGTGGAGCTGATGAAGGCTACTCCATCTCTGGTCTGACATCCATGACTCTGCTCTGGTCCTGAGCAGGTACCTCTGGACTGGGTGCTCAAATCTGCGTTTTAAAATTGACTGTCACAGCAGATGAACAAGCACTGGTGGGCAGGAGTACCTACCTGGAAGCAAGGCTAGAAAACGTGCTCGCACCTCATTTAGAGCCAAACACTTGAGACCACGCTTGAGACTAAACAAAACACTTCAGATGAAGCTGCAAGCAGATCTGGACTCCCTGGTCCTGGAGGGACCACACCACACAGTGAATCTTCTGCACCACTTCCCTGCCACCATAGCATATCTAAAGAGAAGTCTGCAGACCCTGGGGCAGGGGGACCTGTCCCCAAGTGGGAAGGGTCTGAAAACAAGAGCATGCATCTCCAGGAGTGCCTTTAAGGATCAGCGGTCCTGGGAGGGGCCCCTTGAGAAGTGAGGCCCGCGAAGGTGTGTGTTGATTGCCGTAGTTCCTTCCTCTGTGACACATGTCACAACCAGGGGTAAATAAGTGTTGCCAGATATTTGTTATCTTTTTCCTCCTGAACTTCTGGCCTCTTGCTAGCAGGTATGTAGCTGTCTCATTATTCACAAGGCCTCTCCAGAGCCTGGAACACGTGAGTACCTGTGGATGATGTTGGTCAAATCAACAGGATATGCACACAGGGTGGAACTTTTGTGGGGTGAACTAGGAAACATGCTTAGGGGTGATAGTGAAGGCAGCAAAGGTGCCTGGTGGAGAGGGGTGCTGGCCCCAGGGACAACGCAGAGCCCTATCAGAGACATGCATCCCTCCAAAGCAAACAGCTCCACTGGGTCAGGAGAGGGAGTGAGCTGTGCTCAGGGTTCAGACGGGCAGCCGAGTAAGAATGCGCCCAAAGGCCACAGAAAGGTGCTGGGCAGGGCTGGCCACCTTGGAGTCCTCGAGGGAAGATATCAGGGAAAGGAAAGGGATGAAGGGGGGGGATGAAAGAAAAGGAACGGGAAGAGAAAGGAAAGAGGAGGGGAGTGTGAGTGGAGAAGGGAAGAGGAGAGAGACATGATAGAGAGATGGGAATCAAGAAAAAGGAAGAAGGAAGGGAGAAGGGGTGGGGTGGAAGGAAGGAGGGAAGAAAAGGAAGCAGGAAGGAAAGAAACAAAGGAGGGAAGGAGGGAGGGAAACGGTGGAAAGGAAAACAAAAGCAAAGCTTTTTCTTTCATTAGTAAAAAAAGTCCCGAGGCCAGAGGACATGGTTATTTCATAAAACATCACTCCAGGTAAGCGGTGGGAGTGGCTAATCCCTGATCTAACCCCTTCCTCTACCCATGAGGAGAAAGCAAGATTGACAGGTGAAAGATGGGCCAGGCAGGAAGTATAAATAGTAGCTCTGGGTTATTTGTAACCTTCATTTTAAGGTAAGGATGATTGACACATGGATGGCTTGGATTAAGGGAGCCCCTGATCTTTAACTTGCGGGTCACACGGAGAAAACTTTGAGAAAATGCTCCGACATGGAGATGTCAAGTTGAGTGACAGCCCTGTGCAAGGAGCCACACGCTGGCTGCTTCTTCTGCATGCATCACTTCACAGAAGTGATGACTGCCATTTGAACAGAGAGACATCCTTCCCGCCCGGGGTCAAGAGACTGACAGAGCCCACCCATTAATAGAAATAACTGTCATTTAAAATAAAATGCTTGGTGGAAAACTTCAGCCATCTATTAGAGAACACGGGGCCTGTGAAGGGGGCACCCGTGAATCACTGTGCAGGACACTGGCACACAGATATGGCACAACAGAGTGGGAGACGATTACATCCTGAGCAGTGCCTTCAGTTGGCTCCATGGCTCCCTCCTGAGTAAGTCATGGCTTCTCTCAATTTACAGCCCTCTTCGGTGCTAATTAGGAGCTTTTCCTATGTGATGACGCAGGAGGGGATCTGAGGGAGGAAATGAATGGCAACGTGGCTTCTGATCTGGGAGCCTCTTACGGCAAAAAGTCTTTTAGTGGTAAAGGTTCTCTGGAGAAGGTTCCTTTCTGAACAGTCACAGAGTCTGGGACCTCTGCTGAGCTTCCTATATGATATCACAACTGCTCCAATGAAGAAAATGGTGCACGGAGACACTTTCTTCCTCAGAAGCTTAGCCTGGCATTAGGTAGCTTTCCATGAAAGCTTAACCTATGTCTTAAGGAGAGGGCCTTAACCCACATGCAGATGATGGCTCTCGATGTGCTTGTGGGAAGTGGCCCTTGATGACTGTTCTTGGAAGTGTGGCACCCGTGGTTTGTGCAAGGCAGGTGGTATACATAAAAAGAAAGCAGTGGTTTTGTGCCCTGTTTCACAATCTCATTTGATATGGTTATTAGCATGATGTTGAACTGAGTTTGGTGGCACATGCCTATGATGCCAATACTCTGGAGGTGAAGGCTGGGGGAATCAAGAAGTCAAGTTCATCCTCTCTGAGATGATGATTGTGAATTCAATCAAGGTCAGCCTACATGAGACCATGCCTCAAAAAAATAAATAAATTAAAAATCAGTGATAAGGGCTGGGGAGATGGTTCAGTGACTGTAGAAAAAAAAAAAAAGGATGGAGAGTGATTGAGGAAGATACCTGACATCGCAAATGGGCAAGCACATGCATGCGTGCGTGCTTGTGCGTGTGTGTGTGCGTGCGTGCGTGCGTGCGTGCGTGCGTGCGTGTGTGTGTGTGTGTGTGTGTGTGTGTGTTTTACATGGATAGCAAAATGGATAGAAGCATGATATGATCTACTTCATTGAGTGATGAGGTACAGACTGGTTAAGCACCTCCCCCAAGGGCATCTATCTGGTGAAGAATGGAATCTTCGAATCCAAGTCCTCAGATTCCAGTCACTGGAACATCCTAGCAAGGTAGGAATTTATAACCAAGTTCTCAATGGTGATTAAACAGTTACTCAAAGGGTGTGCAGTCAATTAGGAAGTATAATTAGAATCAACCCTTGTATGTTCCACGCTGCATAGAGCTTTCAAAGATTAAATCCATCTACTGCTGAGCAACAGATTTCTTTAGACTTAGTGGCTTTAAACAATACTCAGTTCTTATCTGATAGCTCCTTAGGTAACAAGTCCCCTTGGCTTAGCTGAGTAATGTCATTAGACTCTTAGGAATTCTAAGGACTGTAAGGGAATCAAGGTGTCAGCCGGCTGGACTCTTATCCACAGACCCTAATGCAGAGTCTGTTTGCCAGCTCACTCAGATCTCTGGAATGAACTCAGTCCCTTGCTGTTGTAGGGTTGGAGCTCACATACCTTTGAGGAGGTTGTTCTCGGTCTCTACAGGACTCTTTCCAGACTTGGCATTCAGCTCTCCCCTGGTCTAAACGAATAACAGCACACGAGTGAGTCCTATTCATACCTCAGAACCTCCGTTTCTCTTTCTACAACCAGCTGGAGAAAAGCTCTCTGCTTGTCAGTCACCTAGATAATATCTTGCCTTGAGGACAACTGATAAGTAACTGTAGTCACAGCTGTAAATCCATGGGGACAAGTCCAGATCACTGGAGTGATGGTTCAGATCCACGAGGAAGGTGTCACAGCTGTAAATCCATGGGGACAAGTCCAGATCACTGGAGTGATGGTTCAGATCCACGAGGAAGGAAATGTGCTACAGTGAGGGGCCTCTTAGAGTTCTGCCCACCACAGTGCACGTGGGCTGACCACTGGCCACGGCTGCTCAGCATCTTTAGCTCATGGAAGCCCACTCAGTATGCCCCAGGAGGTGAGTATAAGCTCTGCTGAGGGGCCTGTAGCACCTTAGCAGCAAGGGGTGGCCAGATGGGAAGAGTCTGGCCATGGAGTTTGGAGGTCTGAGTCCTCTCTGGAACACTCTCCCTCTCCCTCCCTCCCTCCTTCCTTCTCTCTTCTCTCTATCTCTCTCTCCCTCCCTCCCTCCCTCCCTCCCATCTTCCCTCTCTCTCTCTCTCTCTCTCTCTCTCTCTCTCTCTCTCTCTCCCCCACTTCTCTCTCTGAGGCATTCCCATGCCCAGGTTTCATGATATGAAGACATTGCCCTTAGGCAATGTGGATGCCAGTTAAGCAATGAGTTAGGGCCCCTGTGCTTAGAAGCTCACTGACTCCATAGTAAACTAGCCCAGGAACAGAGCCAAAAGATGTGAGTTCTCTGAGAGACCCTCCCTTGAATGCAGTGTTGGAGTCTAAGACTACCTCAGGGACAGGATGTGCCCTACATTACTCTGGTCCTTAGACTGCTGGATTTCTCCTCATACATCCTAACTGTGGACTCAGTACCTGTCCCTTAATCCTGCAAAGATTAGCAGAGACTAGGCTATGGTGATAGCCACACATTGTGGAGGAGACATCAGGGACATGGTATAGACGAGAGAACTGTATAGATTGCATTTGAAATCCCCATGTAGAGTCTGTTGGCCATGTGATCACAGGGGTTCTTCCGGCTCTCTCCTTGGGTGTCTACTGAGGGTTCCCACTCTGAAAGGGCCAGCTACCTCATCATGGGAGTGAGTGACAGCTTTAATCATATTCCTCTAACCCAGATTGATTCTGCTCCTAGGAGCCCCTCACTCTAGTGTAATCCCTCCTAAATGGGCGTGTGCCATCACTCCCGTGACCTTGATGTGGCACTGAGAATTTGCAGCTGTGATTACAGATACTTGGTTTCCAATAGCACCCTTGCAGTCTTGTCTGAGATGGAACTCCTTACCCAGTGTTCTCAAAAGTAAGAGAGTCTATGGAGTGACACACTCTCTCTCTCTCTCATATGTATGTGTGTGTGTGTGTGTGTGTGTGTGTGTGTGTGTGTGTGTACTTTATTAGAATGACTTATAGGCTGTGGTCTAGCTAATCCAACAATGGCTGGCTATAGATGGAAAAATCCGAGAATCTAGTAGTTGCTTAGTCCGTGAGGCATCTCAGCTGGTCTTCAGTATATACTGGAATCCTGAAGAAGTAGGCTCTAATGCCAGTGTAGAAATGGACTCCCTAGCAAGTCAAGAGGAAGTAGGCAAAGATCAAAAGCTTCCTTTCTCCATGTTATTATCTAGGCTTTCAACAAGAGATGTGGCCTAGATTAGAGGTGGGTTTTCCCACCGCTCAAAAAATCTGGATTAAAGCATGTGTCTTCCTGCCTCAAGATCCGGGTTAGAAATTGATCTTCTTATTTCAAATTAAGTAAAAATCTCTCACTGCTGTACCCTCCATTTGTGGGTTTTAATTCATTCCAGATGTAGTCAAGTTGACAACCAAGAATAGTTATCACACCTAGCAAAGGCATCCTTGGCCATCAACAAACTGTGCCCAAGCAAATGTAGCCTCAGCTTCTCCATCCTCAGCAGACTGAGGACTCTACTTTCTGGACAACAAGGATATTGAAATGCCATGCTCATACTCAGACAGACGTGCAGTCTATCTCTGGGAACGTGGTTGACTTCTTCCTGTACCAAACAGGAAACTGGGCAGTTTTAAATGATTATTTTCTTCCTTTTCAGCCCTCTGGACTTCAGCAATGGGACCAGTAAACTCATCCTCAGAGCATGCAGTTTACAAACATAAAGACCCTGGAAGATGTGAAGGGGTATTCCACCAGGTCAAGCCCACCCGGGAAGCTCAGGAGATGAGTGATGTTTAGATGAAAACAAAACTTTCTGGGGATTCCTCGTGGAAGGTGGAGCCTCACAGAAGTAAGTATTTAGCCTAAGGGAACAGAGGAGTCATCTGATTCCCACAGGGCCCCTCTGCACTGTCCCCACATTGAGGGAAATAACATGAACTTGGCTTTCCAGTATCAGCCAGTCCCTGGCTGCCAGCTGCCCCTGAAGGGAGGGAGAAAGAACACAAAGACTTAGGAGAGTCTATTCCCTGTGGCTGGTGGCAGCCACCAATGAGCATGAAAGCTGTGAGCAGCTCACTGTAAATGATGATTGCTTTGGTTCTAAGAAAGAGAGAGAGGTGATGGGTAGATGCCTCAGTGGGTAAGAGCGAGCCTGGTGACCTGAGTTGATCCCTGGGATTCATATGGGGTAAGAAGAGAATTGACTCCCACAAGTTGTCCTCTGAGCTACTACTACTCATAGACACACACACACACACACACACACACACACACACACACACACACACACTCATGCATACCCACACACACTAGCATACATACTAATATACATACATGCATACACACTCACATACACTCTCTCTCTCTCTCTCTCTCTCTCTCTCTCTCTCTCTCTCTCTCTCTCTCACACACACACACACACACACACACACACACACACACACCTATGCACATACACACTCACACACAAACTTGATTAGAAAATGTTTAAAGTGGAGATCCAGGCAGAACACCTTAGATCTTCTAGAGGTGCTTGAAAGGCTACACACTAACGCAGAGGGAGAAATCCATCCAGGAAGGCTTCCTGGAGGAGGATATGAACAGCTTTGGAAGCTAGTAGAACATGAGGGAGAGATCATCTTAATAAGCAACGGGACCCTAAGACATACGAACCTCCTACCCCCTCCTCTGCATAGTACACATGGTTGAGTGCTCAGCATCCTCTGGTGTCTAGAAAGCAGGAGGCTGGCTCGTGCTCTGTGAATGTAGGGATGCCAACAGCTCTAACAGGACTCAACTTTGTGATCTTATGTCTGTCAGGAAAATGCATACGGAAAGAAAACTGATGGAGAGGTTAGTGAACGGAGCTCACAGGTTTCTTTGGAGCCTCCTCCACTTTACTGTGTCAGTAACTGGAGAGCAGACTTTCCCCAGGATATTCTGGAGCGTGACTAATTGCCATAACAAAGAACACATTTCCCCCATTCCCCTCCCTCTCTGACTTGGAAAATCTATTTTTGCCCTTTTCCAGGTATGTGATGCAAGATGGATGAGCTGATCCTACCACATAGACAGGACAAAAGCTCATTTGCTGAGACCTGGGCACCCCAAGGGGCTCCTTGGTGCTTTTTTGGGAAGCCAAGCCAAGCAATGACTGGGTGTATGACTGGGTGACAAGGACAGGGGTCTACCAGCTGTGACTTCACCATACAGAAATGCTGGCATGGGATCATTCAGGAACCACACGTGCATGGATTTTTTTTAAGTCAATTTGGTTTCTAAGACATTTACATTGTTTCTCCCAAAGGTTGTACAAATACATTTACACACTTATTTCTATCTAGCTGCTGAGACGAGAGGCTCCTGGGACTAGAGGAACTCAGGGGTCTGATGAGGACCAGGCGGTTCCCAAGGCTATACAGGGAGGAATCTGTGTGTCTGGAACACATTAGGGACATGTAAGGCAGCGCTTGCCACAGGCCTGTCAGCCCCAAGGACTGCAGAGGGTCTGCCATGCATTGATTGTGTGCCTTGAGCAAGGTGCTTGTTGTGGCAGAGTACAATAACAACCATAATTTATTTGACCTTCTCCGTCTACCCCCTCTGATAGTTCCCTGCCATGCTGACCTCAGGCCTCCTTTTGAGTGCTGGACCATTAGCAAACCCACAAGTGAGGACTTGAGAAATATTTACACATGGCAGCTGCCTATCTTGCTGCCCCTGCAACCAAGCCACCCACATGTAAAGGGACCCATGCCAGTCTACTGGGAGATGGGAAACACATGGCTAGCTAGCCTAGTCATTCAGCTGGTGGCCAGCCAACTACCAGACAGGTATGTGACGCTTCAGGCAACCTGCCTGGTGACCTTAATCGCAGTGTCCTAGCTAAGATCAACAGAAGAGAGCCCATCCGAGGCCAGCCCACATCCCCACCCTGCAGCACTGGGAGCTGAGGAGAGGGTAGCATGAAGACTCTGAGTTGGAGAGTTCTTAAAGCTTATGGATCCTGTGTTTACCCTCAGTGACTCAGTACTCACCGCCAGTCTCTCCACCTATGGGGAAAACAGAAGTTGCCAATGTCACAGGGATTCCTGGGGTGTCTATGAGTGTTCCCAAAGTGGGTGCTTCATGTGTGATTGGAACACCTTTTATTCCTGCAAAAAAAAAAAAAAAAGATTAAGTAGAATGTTGTAGCAATCAAATTGTAGCTGTCACACCCTTGCAATGGATCTTCTGGGGCATTGTTTTCACCCTTGGGTTTAGGGATAAGCCATGTGACAATTGCCTTGTCAAGCTCTTGGCCTACTGCAATAGCCCAATAGCCCTTCCAATGTTGCCTCAAGGCATGGCACTTTGTCTTGGGGTTTCTACTGCTGTGAAGAGACACTATGACCATGGCAACTCTTATAAGGGAAAACATTTAATTGGGGTGGCTCCCTTACAGTTCAGAGGTTTAGTCCGTTATTGTCATGGCAGGAAGCATGGCAACATGCAGGCAGACACGGTGCTGGAGCTGAGAGTCCTTGATCCAATGGCAACTGAGACACTGGAGGATATCTTGAACATATATGAGACCTCAAAACCCACCGCCACAGGGATATATTTCCTCCAACAAGACCACACCAACTCCAACAAGCCACACCTCCTAGTAGTGCCACTCCCTTTGGGGACCATTTTCTTTCAACCACCACACATTTCCTTCCTGTGTCTGTGGGGGGGGCGGGCGGGGGGGGGGCACAGAATCTCCTCACATGCCCAGGTTCTGAATTCACGACAGAGCACCACAAGCTGCCTTTTTTCTTTCTCTCTGAGAAACCACATACTTACTCCTGAGTACATGCACGAGTTTCACAAAGTTGGCTGAACCTTGGAGAGAGCTAGCACTGTGAGGCAGAGACACTTCCAGGCACAGCTAGTAAAAGATGGAAATTTACTTCACCGAACAAGGCATCCATCAGGACTCCCGTGGTCTACTCACACCTTCATCTTTTGTAGACGACCTTGTGGGCTGCACGACTTATTGGCCAGGCTGGGGCACCTGTAGGAATGAAGAGGGCCTAGGAGAATGGGTGCACCTGGCTCTGGGCTGAGCAAAGTAAGGAGTGTGCCCATCCCATCTTTGTTCAGGAACTTGATGAAAAAAAAAAACGGCAATTGATCTTTTAAAGGGCTTCAGCACTTATACAGATGCTGCCAAGTGGAGCAGATCACATCTGAGAAAACAGAGACCCTGGAGCCAGTGTTTTAATGGCACATTAAAAAAACAAAACAAAACAAAACAACAACAACAAAATCCATGTTCTTATCACATTGTCGACTCCTGTCTAGGGAATCCTAATTCCGGGTCTTAAATTCTTAGGTTGGCATAAGGTTTCTGACCTACCAACAAATGTGTTCATAATATGGTGGTAGAATAGGAAGTAGGGCTTGCTTGGAGGAAGTAGGCATATATCCTTGAAGGCTGTAGGAAGTGGGTATATGAAAGGAAGAGGAAGCTTGTTCCAGCTTTCTCTCCTCCTCCTCTCCCTCCTCCTCCTAGCGTTCCCTTCCTCTCCTTTTACAACGTGAACAGATTTCCCCACCACGCTCTTCCTCTGTGGTATTTCTGCTTGACCACAGGCCTGAATGCAATGGAACCAGTCGACTGTGGACTTGAAACCATGAATCCCATAACCTTTTTCTCCTCTTCTGTAACCTCGGGTATTTTGCTACAGCAGTGAAAAACAAACACACAGATTCTTTCTTCTTCAGGACCCATGAGACTGCTTTGCCTGACCTGCATCCAGAGGTGGCTTGATAAATACTCAGTGAACGTAGGTAGCAAAGAAAAGCTCACCAGTGTGTTTCTGTCTTCCAGCTCCATACAGGGCTCAGAGGCATGTTAACGGGGGAGGAAGGCTCTGCGCTGTGGAAACTTCTCTGAAATCTCCTAATAACTTAATTGCTCTCTAGTATGAAGAAATTCTGCCAACACCCCCTTCTCATGTTCATCAGTGGCTAAAATACAAGAGCTTTGTTCTTCCCTGTGCGGGAGGACTGGCTTGAGTCCTGTCATGCGCGGTTGTGGGGATAATATCTTTTTATGTCTCTCTTCCCTTCTCTGTTCCCCCTCCACAGCTCTCCTTTCTTCCTTTTGATTTTTAAGATGTCTTTTATACCCCTCCCCCTACAAACCATGCTCCATGTCAGAGGCCCCCTCTGCTCTCCAAAGTTCCACCAAGGCTGTGAATACTTATGAAATCAGTTAGTGGCCTCATTTGTCAAGTGCCTTTTTGTACCGTTAGCCTTCTCCTCTGCCCCCAGAGACAAATGTTTTCACTTCTACACATTGGGGACAGTAAGAATGAGGTGGTAACAGCATGTCCTTCTTACATATTTTGATCACAGTGTCTGTGAGGATAGCGCTAAATGCTTTTCTAAAATGTAATCATTCCTGGAAATCAGCACATTGGAAAAGAGGGAGGCATGCTCTGATCCCCATGACCCGGCTGCCTTCTACTCCGCCAATTTCCCAGCTGTCTGCGGCTTGCTTCTTAGGAAGATCTCTGTCCATCTTCTCAATGAGGTGGAAAGGCAACTGAATGTCCCTTCCCTGTTTGGTGTGATGACATTTACTCGAGCAAGGGCTGATGGGTACCAGCAGAAATTCTCTCAGCACAGGACCGTGGAGCACTCTGTCTCAGCAACGCTGTGGCCATTGTACTAACATTATCTAAGATACAGGGGAAAGCAGGAGCCAGGACCTTGTTGAACACAGCAGTCAGCATTTGCTAGTGAGTGACATGGTGGCACAGTCCCAGCAGCAGGAGGCTGAGGCAGGAGACAGACAGACAGACCAGACAGAAAGAAGTGGGAGGAGGAAGGGAGAGAGAAGGAAGAGAAGGGGATGACGCAGAGCCTGAATAACAATGCAAACCAGTTCTGACTCCCAGGGCTCATTGCCTCCCCATAGGCAGCAGAGGAGTGCCCCCTGGACACCTTGCTTCTTGGCCCCATGACTCCTGCCCACTCCTGCACCTGAGGTGCTGCAGAGCCATGTCTGAAGGCCCCAGATCCTGGGAGACTGGGAGATCACATTTCTCAGAGCTGTGATGGGGCTTAGGAGAAGGAATCCCACTGCTAGCCTTATGCTGCAGAGGTGGGTGGGTATCATGCTCCAGATGAGGCCTCACTACCACCACCCCTGGGGAAGAAGCTGAAGCCGGGATTTGACCCTGCTCTGGCTTCCTCCCTTTTGCTGTCCCTGCTCCACCTCAGGTCCCCTTTGTAAGTCACCTGTGCCAGAATCACTTGACTTGGAAGGACCTGACTTAAGACTCAGGTTTGTGAGACCAGTGTGTTAAGGAGAAGCAGGTGTTTTATCAGGGAACTATTTAAGAGGCAGACTCCTTCTTCCTGACGCTGAGATCGACACATGCAGAATGCTAGGCTTGGTACTTCTGCATGACTTAGGAAGAGTTTGCAAGACCATTCACAACAGTAGATGTCCTGTGTAGGTAGCTCTAGCCATGGGGGACCTTAGAGACTCATGGGGAGTTGTGCCAGCTCAGGACACATACCCATTCACACATGCTACAGTCCTACGAACCCGGGACTGTAGATGCTAGAACTCAATGAGGGGTAAGCCCTCACTACAGACTCTAGGAGTGCAGTGTCTAGATGAAGTGTTGGGCACAGTCTTCTGCTCAGTGGGGACAGTCTGTCCTGGGGATATGACAAGAAGGCCCAGTTCACAAGGCACGCAAGAAGTATGATGCTTCTGCATTAGTGCCCCTGAACAGAGAGCTCCTCATGCTGGGATCATGGACCGTAAGTTAAATGAAGGGCCTTCCTAAGCCCATTCTTATCTAACTATTCTCAGTGACATGAAGTGCAGGGATGCTGGCAGCATAAACCAGTCAAGGGCAACAGCTTGGAAAGTTGTTGATGCTGCCCAGCACCTGGCACCAACCCACATGCACCTGCAAGTCACCTGGGATCTGCACCTGTCTTGGCGGCAGTTTGAATGATAAAAAGCCTCCATCCAGCTTCATTCTATGCAAGGAGACATAAAAATGGTTTTGATTGTGGGTTAAAACTTGCATCCAGGCCTTAGGAGAATTTACAGGATTGATTCCTACTCAATAGGGTCCTTTAAAAATTCACGAGTACTAGGCCAGGCGGTGGTGGTGCACGCCTTTAATCTCAGCACTCAGGAGGCAGAGGCAGGTGAATCTCTGGGAGTTCAAGGCCAGCCTGGTCTACAAAGTGAGTTCCAGGACAGGCTCCAAAAGCTACACAGAGAAACCCTGTCTCGAAAAACCAAAATTAAAAAAAAATCAAAATCAAAATAAATTTTAAAAAACTCCCTAGTACTTCAATGCAAAAGGATGTGATTTAAAGGTCTCGGGGCTGGGGAGATGGCTTGGTGAGTAAAAATGCTTGTGCAAGCATGAGCAGATTGGACCCCCCAGAACTCACATAAAAATGGGATGTAGGTGTGTATGCCTGTAGCACCAGGGCTTAGGTTGTGGGGGGGAAGTGCTAGAGGAAGGGCAGACACAAGATTGCTGGCTCTCACGGGCTGCTAACCTATCAAAAAAGCCAGCAAACTCCAGTGAGAGACCTTGTCTCAAGAGAATAAGTTGGGGAGTGATGGAAGGGAAAATTCAGTGTCCTCTCTCATCTGTGTGTGTACCCGCACACATGCAAACCACACACACACACACACACACACACACACACACACACACACACACACACACACAGAGGCATGCATGCAGATCTGTCTACACCGTGCTCAGTACCTCCCAGATGCTCTACGTACACAGGACCCTTGCACGCCATTTGACATGAGCTATGCTGGAGAAATCCCAAGCCCCGCCTCTGCAGCAAGAAGACCTTGCTCACGTGGTCTCACAGTCTCCGTTCCCTTGGGTTAAACAAGGCACGCATTTTATCACCAGTGGCAGGTGTAGAAATGAACACTCTCAAAACCCATGTTACATTATTTGGGAGTGTTGAAGGGTCTCTGGCCTCTGAGTTCCTGTCAATCTACTCTCTGCCTCTCTATCACATCTGATATGTGCATGTCATCCATCCCAGCCCATCACCTGCCTGGAACATGTTGGAGTGCCTACCCAGGACTGATGGGCGTGCAGCTTCGTCTTCCTGT